TTCGGTTTTAGTAATCTGTTTTTATTTTATTTTCCCATGACAATTTTATTCCCAAGTAGTGATATATATTGAGATGTATTGGCATGAATACGAATCTCTGAAAACGAGCCTGTTCACCACTCTGTTGTTTTGTTTTCGAAATGTGCTCTGTGGGATTATTTCAACAATAATGATTATAATTGACATTCGGTAACGTTACATTCCATTTCATTGTAGACAGATCATCTGTGGGCTTTGTCAAGGTCGTTCTCGAGATCAAATTAATCTTCTGGTTTTGTTATTGTCCTCCCTATTTTGGCATCGTCTACAAATAGCTGGGTTTGTGTTCTGAGGACGTCTGGAAGATTGATTTATAAAGGCAAGGAAAAGACGTGGGCCTATCACATATCCCTGTGGAACCCTACGAATGACATCCATGGATCAGAATGTGAATCGGAAACACGAACTGACATGGTACGTAGTCGAAGAAATCCTTCGATATAGCCACGTACGAGTCCACGGATTCCATAGTTATGTATGTTCAGTGTCAGTATTTGATGATTTACCCTATCAAATACCTTAGAGAAATCCAGATAAATAACATCTACTGCTTTTTCCTGGTCTACAGCATGAGTTCAATCGTCCCGAGTTAGTTGCACATGACCGATTTTTCCGAAACCCGTGCTGGACTCGGGATAGTAAGCCAGAGTGCCGCTTTGTCCTGCACATGACGATATGTGAGACTCCGCACCTAGTTCATTTGGATTAAGGCTGAGGATTGCAATTGTTGTTTCCCCGATATCATTAGTACCGGGTAGTAGGGGAAACATTGGCCGAGTCAACTTCTGCGTAACGGCGCGCACTTGACCGCACGGTTTAACTGCTTTCTAATTGATCACCTAACACCACCAGCATCTTGTGGCAACCTTGAGAAAGCTTTTGTTGCTGCCTCGGAATATCTGACGATGAACGCCACTGGATGTACGTTCGCTTGTATTACCTCGTTTAAGGGACTCTTTTTAATCATTGTAAGACTCGCCTCTGCATACTTCACGTAACCGTGACTTAATTTCATGACGTATCGATTGGAAGCTTTTGATATGCAGAGATTGTCATGATGCCATATTCTGTTGGAAGAAATGTCTATTGGTCGATTAGAGTTTATATCTAGAAGCACATTCGATCGCATCTGATTGCATTTATTTCGTGGGGAACCAACGATCTCCCAAGGATAAAAACTCACCCCCAAGATGATCGAGAGTGCCTTGTTCCTCTGAACAATAGAATGGGCCAATCCAAGGTTGATACTATAACTTGATTGAGCCATTCGCACAAGGTGATGATCGTCGAGCGTGTAGTTCAGGGATAAGGATTTAAAGTCCCAAACCGCCCGTTCGCGGTTCAAATCCTAACAGGGACACCAAAAGTACGTCCACTACTGACCAGTCTCAAACAGAATGAAACGGCTGTCCAGTGCTCTTTGTCGGTTATCAAAAGCAGATGCAAGATGGATTTTCAAAGCTAAATCTAAACTGTTTTCTCATCAATGGTATCCGAGTTACGCGGAATATCAGGAAAGAAAGACATAAACTACGCGATCAACTTATTCTAACGTCAAGCCAACTCGTTGAAAACAAAAACGTAACTTTTGGTTACTTTGATGATTGACTCCCGGTTTAATTAGTTTCGTCTTACGTTCGCTAGTTCACTGACTATAAAAATCACCTTGACTGCGGTATTCACGTGTACAGGAGTAACGAAATGGTTAGGAAGGATTCAATATGCCGATTCATGCTTTTGACTCCAAACTCGATCTCTTTGTTTTAGCGGATTTCACCTGCCCGTAGTTGTTTGCTCACTCAAACTTACAGGGTCTTTATTGGTGTACGCATTGTAATAGCTGATAGACTGACTGCACGTACACATGAGAGAAGGAAGAATGACAATCTTAGTAATGTATGAAAGTAGTCAAAAACTATATCAAATGTTTCCACATCCTTCGTGTTCAGACAGCTTAGCTCATTTAAACGACATCGAGAAGATTAGACACATCGTTGTAAATGAGTGTTTGTTTCATAGAAACCAAATATTAGGACATATTTCTTACATGTAACTATCGCGTGTTCACTTTTACCTGTATTGACACCACCGAGTCTCCAATCCTCCTTTCAACGAGACAATTATTGGACGCAACACTCACTTTATTCCACACATTGCTCAAAGCACTTCTTAATCTCAAAATTAAACTCTTCGTGTAGATAACAAATGAAGCGTGAACTAAAAAGCTAGGAAGCACTGGACAGCTGCTTCAATCTGGTGAGATCTCATCTGCAGTGCGAATCCATCGACCCAACGGGGGATCGAACCCGAGACCTCATTGGCAGAAGGCAAACATGCTACCCACTCGACCACAGGGCAGCTTATGAGACCGCTTTTTATTCTCCATTTACGCCATATGGCATAACCAATCTTTCTTAGTTTGTTACGGCACAATGATCTCGCTCATCTAAGCACTAGCCTCCGGGGTCACGACTCGGTTGGAAACATTCGCAACCTGACTACTTATTTCAAGTGAGTAATGAAAGATGTGATTCTATTTAAACGGTGATTTGGGTCGATGACATCGCAATGCTGATCAGAGCCGATCAGGCCGAAACAGCTGTCCAGTAGTGCTTCTTAGCTTTCCAGTTCACGCTTCGTTTGCTATATACACGACGAATTCACAATTTAAATTGAATCAAACCCTCCATTTACCCAATTAAATTGTCTCAATCTGTCTGCATTGTTTGTGATAACCGGCAAAGAGCACTGAGCAGCCGTTTCGTCCTGTTTGAGACCCGTTAGCAGTGTACGTACTTTTTGTGTCCCTGTTGAGACTCGAACCGCGAACGTGCTCATTGGCACGTAAAACCCTTATCCCTAAACTACACGGTCGACGGTTAATACTGTGTGCGAATGATTGAATCCATTTTACTATAGCTTGCTTCGATTTGCCTATTCCATTGTTCAGAGGCTCCAGACACTCTTGGGTGTGGGTTTCACTCCATGGAAGAAAGTTGATTCTCCATGATTTCATGCCTTTGTGTGCGATGGAAATATTTGTGATAACCGACAAAGAGCACTAGACAGAATGCCTGGTACCTCTTAACAATTGAATGAGCTAATCCAAGCTTACTACCGTAAATTGATGTAGCCATTCGCACAAGGTACTGACCATCGACCGTGTAGTTCAGGGATAAGGGTTTGAAGTCCCAACCCGCCCGTTCGCGGTTCGAGTCCTCACAGGGACAAAAAAAGTACGTCCACTGCTGAAGAGTCCCAAAGAAGACAAAACGGCTGTCCAGTGCCCTTTTTCGGTTATCACAAACATACAAATGCATAAAATCATGGGGAATCAACGATCTCTCCAGGAGTGAAACCCACACTCAAGAGTGCCTGGTGCC